ATAACTTTGTAAGTAAATTAAAGCATTTAGATAACTTATTAAGCCATCAAATACAGAACAAAAGATGCCGCAAACTGTTGCCCATCTAATTTGTCCAACATTTGCATGCGTTGAGTCTAAATAATTGGTGTAAAAAGCCAGCAAAAACCTCGCCACTCGCAACGCACGCAGTTGCTGCGAAAAAAGATTGTCAAGCTGCGCGACGGTGACGCTGACGACGACGACAGCGCCGACGTCGACATCGACATCGACAGCATTGTCGAGTTGCTCTAGCGTCTGTATGAGAATTTTAGACAAATCCTAACTTAGATCTGCTAGCAAACTGCGCCACATGCACCACATGAGCTGCCCAAGTGAACCGAACGACCCAAAACTGAACCAGCGCCAGCTGAATGCGAGTGAGCGAGCAAGAACAAAATATGTGTGTAGTTGTTATTGTTGTTGTTTTTCTGTGTGCTGTATAGTAACTAAATAGGTGTATGTGTGCGAATGTGTGTATGTGTGTTGACAAGCAATTTTGTAGCAACTGAAACCCACGAAACATAAAAATACCCACAGCCTAAGCGTCAGCAGCCCGCAGCACATAGCAAAAAATAGTAAATACATAGTTTTTGTTTGTTATTTATAGACTCGTTTCAATGGATACGAACGCTAGCAGCAATAGCAGCAGCAGCAACAGCAACGATGAGCAGCCCAGCAAGACGCTAGCCGAGACAGAGACAAATGCAAGTTCGGTGCCCATGGATACCCTCGAGGCCCCGGCCAGCGCCACCACCAGCTCCAGCTCCAAGACTTTGAAACGCTGCGTCAGCGTGCCTATCATACGCACATTGCCGGGCAAGCCGACGCCCATGACGACACGCGCCGCCGCAGCAGCTGCCGCGGCTGCCAAAGAGCAGACACCAAAGAAGAAGGATCAGCAGTCACACTCGCAGCCACAGCAGCGCTCCGACAGCAGCATTTGCTCCACTTTCAGCCTGAGCACCGGCGCAGGCATCGATTGCTTTGGCAAGAGCATACACATACGCTCACAGCCCAGCTCCCGGGAAGTGTCGCCGGCGCCAGTTTTCAATCCATTCACACCACGTGCGCGTCGCTACTCGGCCAGCTACAGTCCGGCGCTGAACGGTGCCGGGGGGAGCTTGGGCACACCGCTCTGTCTTACGCCTCGCGTTTCACAGCTGCGACAGGAGGAATGCGCCGATCTGAATAGCCGCGAAGTGAACCATGAGCGGGAGGTGCATCGCGAAATTCAAATCTCACAGAGCTGGGAGGATCTCACACTGGTGACAGAGAACTGGTCCTGCAAATCGGATGAACTCTCCAATCCGCTGCAGACGATGCTGCCCGCCGGCAGCAGCAACAGCACCAGCTGCTCCAGTCCCAGTCCCACCAGCAATCGAGCCGGCATGCGACTGCCCTACTCACCCTCGCCGACACGTCGCACCTTCGCCACACGGCGCTCCATGTCGCCCATTCCGATGCGACCATCGTCTCTGGCGCCCGTCAAGCGTAAATTCGAGTTGGACGACAACAACCCCAGCGTCAGCAACTGGAGCGTTTACTCCCCGCCGCCGCCAAAGAAGATCTTCACCGATAGGTAAGTTGAGATCAGATTTCATTTTTGATATATTTATGAAACTCGTCTCTCAATTGCAGCCGCGGCTCATCACCTGTGTGCCAATCGCCTTCGTCTGTGTGCCCCAGTCCCGACTCGGGCACCTATGACGGACGCATTACGCCCAAGCTGTTCATATCGAAGCTATGCACAAACAACAATGGCGCCGGCAACAACAACAACAGCAGCAGTAGCGGCTGCCCTTCGCCCGTGTCCGCCTCGCCCAGCAACGTTCTGCCTGTGAATGGACTGGATGGCATATGCCTGGCGGGCGGCAGTCAGAGCCAAAGCATCGACGAGGGCATCTCCATACCGGAAAGTGACACGAACACCTGTCGCAGTCGCACCTCATCCATCTTGTCGACGGCCTCGTCGAGCAGTGCGCTCGGCGGTCCCCAGCTGCTGGTCAACGACATGGTGGACGATGCCACACTAATGGATGATGCCAAGAGCGAGACGTCATCGATTGGTGGCTGCTCGACCATCAGCATTGAATCATCCTCGTGCGACAGTGCGGCCAAGACGGGGGCCACGTTTCTGAATCGCCTCGTTGTCGACGATGGCTGCTCGCCGCTTGCCCAGAAAAGTTTCTACATCAACAAGCAGGGCTTCTCCGGGGCCAAGAAGTTCATAGTTAACCACGAGAAGCTGGGCACGTCTCTGTCCCTGGACAGCAGCAAGGCCACCAAAATGGATGTACAGCAAAAGCTTTAAGCGATCCCATCACATCGCACTGTACCATAGATAACCTGCAGCCGTTTATACCCTGTCTAATTTGTATATGCCGCTGCCAGCACCTAGTTATAGACGTAGTTCTTATGATGGCACCAATCGAGCGTTATTCTAACCCAGCACCCACCCAATGTCCCGAGCTTTTCTCAGTTCGCGTCTTAGCCTTAAGTAATGTACATATTTAAGTTGTTTTATGCCAGATCTTTCGTATATATTTGCATATCAAATCATCGCCCATATCCTCTATATCTCCATATACTGTTAGCAACATTTTTGTTTTTAATATGTTAATGGCACACTCCGATTCACCTGTTCCCTATTCTCTCCAATCACCATCCCATGTGTCACATTCATTGCCAATGCCGTTTCGATACATAATACACATATACTTATGACACAATTTTTTTAAATATATATACATACATATATAGACACACATAGCTATATTTAGCCCTATTTACGGTACACTTAGTTATTAGCCCGCTTAGATGGTAGTACCAATCCAATTTTGCCAAATATGTTTCTTATATATGTAAATGTGAGTATATGCCGCGTTTCAAATCCGATCGATTTATAGCGGATAAACGATTATATTGGAAATTATATACAAATTTGTCTTACGATTTAGCCGATCTTCGTATGCGAATTTTAAATATATAGCTTCAAAATGTTATTTTAAATGAAAACAAAAACATAATAAACAATATTTTTTTCAATAGAACGAAAACAAAATTCTATTATTCTGCTAGTGAGGATACAAAATGGGAGGAGTATGAGGAATAGAATTCGAACAATTTACTGTAATTTAATCTAATATAAAAATAAAATTTTGAAAAGATCTTCAGATAGCAGCCATTAGCTTTTGGTCATATATTTGCTAAGGCAGATATATATATATAGATAGATATATTTCCTTCATAGCCTAGTAAAATTAAAAAAAAAAATTTAATTACCCAACCAATCCGGTGATCTTCGGTTTATATTTATTTTTAATTGCTCGATCATATAGGTAATTTTAGTTGTGTATTTATTTTTAATAATAAGCCAAACCATTATGGGATAATATTTATTTTTAGTATTCTGATACTCTGATATAATTATTGCGGTGTGTGGGTATGTGTGTGTGTGTGTGAGTGTGTTTACATTTGCCCATGCAAATGTATGTACATATGTGTGTGCGTCCGTCTGGCTCAGTAAAAGTTCGAACAAACTGGCCGAGCATCGCTCTGCACTCAGCAACTCTGGCAGGCACTCAACGAGTCAACTGTTTGCGAGCTGCCCAGGCTGGGGGCGAATGGGCGTACGCTGATTTAAAACAAGTTTCACACTCGATTTGTACTTTCGGTCACGATCCGCATCGCGCTCGGCAGTCCGGCAGCCAGGCAGTCAGGCGAGAGGAGGTGGAAGCGAAAGAATGGCAGTCGATGTTGGTGGGACGTGCGATCGGCTTAGCAGAACCAACCACCCACGCTAAATACATACAAATGAGAGCGATAGGCATGCTACATACATACGTACATACATACAGACATGCCTTTGAATAGGTTCGTGTATGTTTAAAAGGGCACCTCTTTTGTGCCGTTGCACAACACTGCCCGAAGGCTGGCACAGCCACGAGAAACATTCATACATACATATGTATGTATATATGCATGTATGTATGTATGTGTTGCGTAGTTTTTTTTTCTGACAACGTCGACAGCGATGCCGACGTCAACGCTGACGCCAGCGACCTAACAATAAAATGAACATACAACAATAAAAAACAAAAGCAAGACATCGCAAATAATTAAACTGTATGGTTTTTGTTGTTGCTCCAAAAAGGAAAAAGAGCAGCAAGAAATGGCTGCGCACGGAGCTCGCGCTGCTCGGCAGCCACTTCTGCTGTGGTGGCTGCTGTTCTTGTTGTTGTCGTCGTCGTTGAGTTGCTTATATTGTTGTTGTTGTTGCTGCCACGATTCGCTTCGCTTCGGTCGTGCTTTAATGGAGCTCGCCTCCTTCTCTCTCCCCAACATTGTCGGCGTCTGCTAGACTGCTCGCCGTTTGCTGCTCGAAGTAATCTTGAAAATCGTGAGTTGAGTTTCGCGCGACGCTCGCTGGTTTCTTTTTGCTCTCACTGTACGCGATCGTTGATTTTGTTGGTGTTGTTGTTGTTATTATTGTTGCGTTTCTTTGGGGCCTTGCTTTTGGTTCGCCCTGCGCATTTTCTTTGTTTTTCGTATTCGTTTTCGTTTTGGTTTTGGTTTTGGAGCTGTGCGCGCCTGAAGAAAAATCAAGTTAACAGCCAACGCACGCAACGGCACCGCGTGTGGGTGGGGACAGGGGAAAAGCCAAAGAGGAGCAGCTTGCCGGGTCGCCAAAGCTATTTGGTATTTATTGTTGTTGCTGTTGTTTTCAATATGCGCGTGCATTAAAAATAAAAAGCCTGCAGCGCGCGTCGACGCCGACGTCGATGTCGTCTTGCCTGTTGCGCTCGTTGTTTTGTTGCTCGCGCTGCTTTTGCTTGTTGTTGTTGCCTCGCTTCGCTGATTCAGAGTGAGCTGCGAGCAAGGCAGAGGCGAGGCAGCGGGCCGACTGAAACTCGACTTTTGGCGTTTGTCGAGGTTGCTGAGCCCGGGCGAGCGAACTGCGAATCCAGTTTCTTCTTCACTCGGCCTCGGCTAACAACGCGAAACAGCCACGGCAAAAAAAGCAGCGCCAGTCACAAATTACTTTTCCCCCTTTTGAATTTTTTTGTTTGGTCGTTTTTTTTTTCGCAAATTGTTTACGGATTGTTAATGTATTGCGGCAAGGTATGTTATTGTTATAGACGTTCGGGCAAGGATGTGAATGGCAATTAGCGTAATAAGCGTAGCATATGCACAGGCGCAAAAGCTCTCTCTCTCTCTCTCTCTTTCTCTCTCTCTTCCTCTTGTTCTCTGCCTTTTGTTAAACTAACTATATGAATATTTTGTATGCTGCGTGTATTTTCATTTCCTTTCATTGTCTATTGCAGGGCATGGAGCTTGCGTCCGCTAGCTGCGCTGACTGCTGCAGCGACTGCGCCAGCGCAGCGCCCACTTGTTGCGCAGCTACCGGCTGTTGTGATGCTGCTTGCTGCGACACCGATTGCCAGCTGCTGCCACCAGATCCTGTGAACTACGAATACCATGAGCCGGAAGAGAACTTTGTGTCCATCGACGATGCCAAGATTAAGAGCCTGCTATTTCAAATCGGCCAGCAGCAACAAGAACTGCGACGCCAGCAGCTAGAGCAAAAGCAGCAGACGGAGCAACAGCCGCAGCCGAAGCCGAAGCCGCAGCCGCGGCCGCAGCAGCAGCAACAAATTATCGAGCTGCTAGACGATGATGAGGGGAGTGTGGGGCCGCCGCCGCTGATGTTGATTAGCACAGCCCGTAGCTTGAAACCTGAGAAACGCCCGATGACGGATAAGCAACGGCTGGCAAAGAAACTGAAGCAACGCCATCATCGCATCGTGGCCAGGATTGAGCTTAGCGACAGCGAAAGTGAAAATGGAGATGCGGAGCAGACGGCTAAGGAGACAAATGCTGAAGATTTGCCAGCCGCGAGTGTCACCTGTGAGCTGGAGGAGCCAGCAGTCCAGGTCATTGAACTGCCTTCGGATGACGAAGAGAAACAACCCATGAAATCAGCTAACCGCAAGCGCTCGCCGAGACCGTACATAAAGCGACGCGGTCGACACTTCTACCAGTGCCAGGCGTGCGGCAAGAAGGTGCAGTCCAATTATAATCTGCGCCGTCACATGATGATACACACAGGTGAGAGCAGCAATTGTGCAACAGGTGTGGCCTGAAACGAGAAAATCTAGCAAAACTGAGAGCAAACATATAATGTGGGTAAAATATAGAAAGCCTTTAGGATTTGATTGAATCTCCTAAAGAAGAATATTGACTCTCAGATCTGAGTCGAGTAGTTGAAAACTGCAACGATTTTATATTTAATGTTTGAGTTTGTTGATCTAATACAAATTCTAGCGTTTTTCAATATTTTTCTATTGCCTTGGTGTATAAAATGAAATAATCATTGTTTGATTAATATATACAAATTTGTTGTAAAACAAATAATGATTATTTTAATTTTATAAAATAATATATAGATATATTTAAAAATTGAAGAGTTTATTAGGAATATTTTTCTCTACTACATTTTTGGGGGGGCTATTTAGACATATCGAAAATCATTAAGATAGATAACTTGAAACTTGTATCTCATTTTTTAAGATTTTAGTATTGTTTACAACATCGAAAAATTAAAATAACTTATTATTTTACATATTACATAATTATTCGAGTATCTATCATAAAATTAAATGAATCTTATGAATTTCCACTAATCAGGTGAGCGACCCTTTCCGTGTGATCTATGCGAACGCCGCTTTCGGGAGTTTAGCGATTTGAAGAAGCATCGCCGACGACATATAAATGATCCGCGCTATATATGCATGATCTGTCGCATTCATACGCCCATGGAGCAGGACTCTACGCGCTGTGCGGAGTGCGAGGGCAAGAATTTGTTGTTGGCTCCGCAGGACTGTGATCCTCTGGATGCTGAAAAGGAGCCAATTGATGAGACTGAACCAGCGTTGGAGGAACAAGACGAACAGGAGGAGCAGGAGGAGGAGCAGGACACGGATCAAGAGTTCCTGCCGGAGGACAATCATGTCGAAAACGAAGTTGTGTCGTTGCCAATGCCAACTCTGCCTCCGACATTGCTTGTCACGCTGGTGCCCGCACCACCACCACTCACGCCAGCCCCACCTGCCCCGCCCGCAATCACTGTCACTGCCCTAACGCGTCCGTCCCTGCCACGAAGCTGCAGCAGCGCCAACTCCTCATCCTCGCTAAGCAACGATGTGGCACCAAAGCGTCTGCCCAGAGTAACGCGCAATCGTCGCACTTACCCCTGCCCACTGTGCCAGCGACCCTTTGGCACACGCCACAACCTGAAGCGCCACTACATGATCCACACCGGTGAGAAGCCGTTCAGCTGCAGCAAGTGCCGCAAGCCCTTCCGCGAGTGCTCCACACTCAAGAAGCATATGGTGACCCATATGCGCGATCGCTGGTACAAGTGCCTGCGATGCCCCGCCAAGTATCAGGACTATCTACACTACATGGAGCACAAGGCAACGCACGGGCTGGACGCGCCATCGGAGACGGGCGCACGTGGCCGTAGCGGACAGAGATCACCGGATAGCGGCGATGGCGATAGCTCTTTGGATGATTGGCTGGAGTGCTGCGAGTGTCAAGTGCGCTTCACCCAGTTGGATGCCTATACGGAGCATATGAAGCAACACGACCTGGAGCTGTATGGCTTGAGTGTCGATGATCTGGATGAAGAGGACCAGGATGTCGATGTGGCCTAATATAAATCAATGATCTATATACAGATATACACATTCCATTTGTTAAACCTTTTGCATTCCAACAAATACTGCACTGAGAAGGCGAGGCATCAGCCGCTGGAATAACTCCTTCAATAATACTATTTATTAACTTCCTGAATTTGTTATATTAGATGTAAGATTATTCTATTAAATTATAATTTCCATTACAAGAGATTCTTAAAACATTGAATGTTTTATGCTTAGATTGAACAATTTCAAATTCCAGTTCAAGTAGTTTCCAATAGATTTGGTTTGGTTTGGATTGGCAAATCCTTTAATTTGATAATTATTTGTTAGCCTGAACTTTTCATTGGCATTATAATTTAAACCATAAATTTGCAGCTCTAATAATAATTCAACTATTTATTTGTATCAAAAAACAAAACTCAGCATATACATATTATAAATAAATATTATTTTATATTATAAATATTACTATATATTTAAAAACGTTTTAAGAGCACAATATACGTAAAAATGTGTTTACATTATACAAGAAAAATGTATTATGAAATCAACTTTTGGGACAGTCAAACTGAAAACTGTTGAATTGAAAATAAACTAGGTCAATTATATGAAAAGTTGCATATTCTCATAATTGTATTCTCTCATTGTATGAAAATAGGAATCGAGTGCATTATCTATATTAACTATCTAATTCTCGATGACCAGTTCAAAAGTTGGTTAAGAACTGCGTTTAAAGTAAAGTTTACTTAAAATAAATTGAAGCAAGCGTAGGTAAAATGACTAAGAAGTGCGTTTTGAGCACTGAACAAACGAGAATCCACGTGAGGGAAATAACAGACAATTAATTAGATATCCAAAAGCACGGGCTTGGTTTCCTTGGCACACTTGAATACCGAACGCACCATTTTCAGGAAGCCCGTATCTTTGGGCTTTTCCAAGCCGCGTTGCACGCGATTCTTCATGACTGAAATAAATTCCTTGTTGCTCAGCTGATTATCGTCTGGGAGGAATACGGAAATCAAGAATTAAAGTGACTGTAAATGGGACTGAAGCTCCATGACTTACTATTCTCATCGAATATAGTGAAGACCACATCCACGACGTGATCGGTCAGGTTTACCATGGCCACCGTCTTGGCCACATGCTGCAGAGTTTGCTGATCGATTGAGGCGCCTGCAATGTGGTAGAAAGTCAACGCCGTATCCACATCGTTGATATTGTTGAGGAAGTGGAAAAAGTCGAGATAATCCTGCTTGGATATGCCCCTGCCATGGTCACGGAAGCGCCGCTTCACGCGCTTCAGCTTCTTTTGCTTCTTTTTGGGCGGATAGCCCGCATAGGCCAACAGCAGCTCGGCAAAGTCCGCCTCTGTTATATTGCCATCCGCATTGGGTTCCTTGCGTTCGAATTCGAGCGAGAGAATTTCACGTTGCAGCTGCTCTTGAAAGTCCAAGAACTTTTCAATCGTCAGCTTCTCGTCCATGTTTGGACCAAAAAAGTACGTTATCAAGGCTGAGTTAACACCCTGAGGAATGCAGATAATGCAATTAGTTCAAGTTCGATAAACGATTTCAAATGCTTTAACAAATATACAAAGAAACAGGTGTGGGCGTGTGCAGGTATTATTATAAAAAGTAGGTGCTATAATTAGTTAAGTGTGGGTGTGGGATGTGGTAGCAAAACAGAAAGCTTAAAAGCGTTTTTCTTTTCACATAAAGTACCTTCAAGGACTGTTAGTAGTCAAATAAAGGAGGAGAAGTATGTATATACACAGTTAGACACGCATTTAACGGACACGCGTATTCAAAAGGATTAAAGCCAAAAGACAGAGAATATACAATACAAAAATCGTTTAGTACAGCATTCTCAATACTCTCTCACTGCACGGAACTCTTCGGAGAGAGAGAGAGCACACACAGCCCATTCAGACCACAATTACCTTGAAAGTGTTTCCAGTATTCGCATGATCCCGATGCCGAGTGCCCATGCTGGTCTGCTGGCGCACCAGGGTGGCAACCATTTCGAACTCTTCGCAGTCCACATCGCCGTCGCCATTCAAATCAAACATCCGAAATGCGATCTCAAAGTGGCGGCGCGAAACTGCAAGAGACATAAACATGAACTTTATATAACAGCCGTCGCCGTTGTATCATCTTACTGGAGAGTACGGTGAGCAGGAAGATGTAATCGGAGAAGGTGATGAGGCCATAGGAACCGAGCTTATAGAATATGCTGTTCTTTTCCAATTGCAAATTCAACTGCTCTCCCACGGACTACAAGAAAAGTGTTATTCGATTAGTAATATTTAGATCATGAAAGTAGAAGCTTTCTTACCTTGGGATCATAGCGGCGATACTGATCCAGACCCAGGCCTGCAAGAGTCAAATATTATTTAGTATTGGCCTTCAAATAGTTCGCTGGATTTGGAGTTAGTTTGCAGAGTGAAGTGGAATTACGGTCAGGGGTTTTGAAGCCACATACCATCTGGTTGTTTCATGCCTGGCGTCATGCTAGTCAAAAAATCGGTTGGTGTCATGTAGACCTCATGGCGATCATCGGCGACCGGCACTTGGATGGTGGCAAAGTAGCGAAATACTTTGTCTGGCGTCGAGAATTGCCTGATGCGATTCTCATACTCAATAATCTAAGCAATAAGCGTTTAGGAAGAATTAATTTTTAATTTTTAGTTACTTGATTTAGCATTTAGCTAAGTGCGATCGGGCACGCAGGCAGTGCAGGCAGAAGCAGCGAAAGAACAAGAAGAAGAATTGCAAAATTGAACAGAAATCGAAAGAACTAAGCTGACGCCAACATAAAACTGCGACGTTGTTGTGATCCGTTGTGATCGTGTTAGTAGTTACAATCTAAATATACCTATATAACAGAATTACCATCTGGTTGCTTAATGCCCGGATAGATAGAGCGCAAAAAGTCCTCGGGTGTCATGCATACGATTGTCTGTGTGGCATCCTGTAGACGCACCGTGGCAAAGTACCGAAATATCTTATCTGGCGTTGAGAATTGTCTGATACGATTCTCGTATTCAATAATCTATGATTTTATGATGTTTGTTTGATTTGTGTTTGTTGATTTGTTTGGAGTGTGTGTGATGGCAACAGAAAATTTGACGGGCAAACATAAAGAGAAACAAAAGGCATAAGTCAACTTAAGTAAAGTAGTAAATATTTATAGATACAGCAGTTGCATAGTCACAAAAGATTTAGATAGACTTCGAGAAAGCGTCCATTTTATATATCGCATACCTTGCGCTCGCGAAACCCAACTTTTTCCTTAACCTTCTTGCCGTCGCGTGGGTTCAGGCGGGCGTCATCGTCGTCCGACTCGTCACTGTCAGAATTATCCGAATTACTCTCGCCATTGACGCCAGCCGCATCAGATGGACGCTGACCCGCATCGGCGTCCACTTTGGGCACGAGCAGTCGTTTCATTCTATAAATAGATGCGATTTAATACAAGCATACATTAAACGATATTTATTGATTAAACGCGACGGCTACTTACTTGCCCCAGTCCAGCACCGAGATGATAAACAAAGTGATCACCATCAAATGGAAATATTTGGTTACCCGAGGTGTCTTCTCCTCGCCATGACCAAAACGCTTGTGACCGCGTGTTTGTTGTTGTTGCCATTGTTGTTGCGTTGGGGTCTCAATTGCCTTAGCTGCGAAAATCGCTTTGTAGCTGTTGTTGTTGTTGTTGTTAGCCAAGGATGATATTGCGCGAATATTCTGGAGAGTCGGCACTAGTGAACGCTTTGTTAGCGTGGCCAGCGCCTCTCGCGTTACCAGAAAACGCAGCACAGACATCTTGCAAATGTTCTTTTACGGTTGATTTTGTTTCTGCTTTGCTTTTGCACTGTTATTTTATGCGCATATTCGCATTCGTTCGCAAACTGGTTAATTATAAATGGAACTAGTTGGTTCCAGTTCAGCATGCAAGTTTAGACAGTTTACAGCACTGAATAACACAGCTGATGAAACATATGTTGTGTAGGCAAGCCGCGCAGTGAACAAGTGCTGGATAGCACACAAATCAAATCAAAATTATTAAAATATTTTTGTGATTTATGGACATAAGTTTATATGTTTATATAATTTATGAAAATAACACTAATGGGTATGCATGTGTAAATTTCTTCGGCTACTATTAATATGCTTACGTATTTTTTTATTGGAATACATTAGAAAAATAAATTAAATAAATAAATTAATACAACTTTTAAATTAGCAACTAAACACTTAAAAATTTTATTACAAGCTCAATGAGTTTTCTATGTATGTACATTATCTGAGAGATCTATCGCGCCACAAGGAGTTGCTGAGCTTCTTTTAGCTTGTATTATGTAATTATTTTACTGTATTTGTTGTATTAACCATCCCATGTAGCTGCCCCAGTCCAAAAATCTGCTGCGACGACATTTGGTGCCAGGAAACTAGATACTCTTCTGGATCCAGGCGTCCCTTAAGCAGCAGCTTCAGTTTATTCGGATATAGCACATAAGATGTGAGATCTGTTAGAGTAATGTTACAGCGCTTGGAGAGAATGCCAGTGACCAGGACATCATCCAGTCGAAAAAAGTTGCTGCGTTGAGCAGCAAAGTAGAGTCGCTTGACCACCTGCGAGGAGTAGAAGACTGCAAAGCCCGGACAGAAGGGCGGATAGTAACGATGAGGGTATTCCCGGAAACCGACACGCCACTTGGAGGAATAGGAACGTGCTACACGATCCTTCTTGTTGATGGCACACAGCAGCAGCTGCCGCTGAGAATGAAGAGCAGAGAGTGGATTCCATGGTGAGGATGGATGTCTCAGGTGATGCTGCAGCTGCGGCGTATTTAGAAAGATGTCATCATCCACTTTGACCAACAGCGGCGCCTGCTCGCAACGAGTGTGAAACCACTTGAGGGCCATCACATGCTTGTAGGTTAGATTGTAGTAGCCATCCAAGAAATTGCCCTGCAGCAAGTCGTTGTGCTGCTCGTGCTCCGCCAGTAGCGACGACTGCAGCTCGTCATCCGCAACAGTGCCGAAGAGAAAGACGAGACGAAGTGAGGATTGAGAGCTTGAATTGGTCGCCAAACGACCCCAAGTTTGCCGTATCGCTGAACGCCTGTCAACGTTACCTGGCGCCGAGTGCACCATGATAAGCGCCTGGGTATGGGGCGCACACGAGGGCTGTTCGATAATGTATTCAAAATTATAAAGATCGATCAACTGACGCGGATCTTCACTGTACGGCATGCTCAGATCCACTGCGATCTCTGGTTGGGACACGATTCGAGGCATATTCGGCAGGTAGGCATAGATCACCACACATAGAGTCATCCACAAGAGTAGGCAAACATTAGAGCTGGATTCCAAAAAGCTTATCAGGCATTTTATCAGTTTCATGTCGCCGATACGGGGAAACCAATAATGGTCTTTTATATGAATTGACTCTTATGTGTCAGTCCGGACAGAGTGCGTATCAAATGGCGACTGCAGGAGTACATGAAACATCGGACTTGCTTATCTCTCTATTTTCCTACTTCCAGATAACAGAATATCAAGTCGATCCAGTATTTGATAACAGCTGACCAAAAAAATTTATATATTTTGAAGTCTTATTAACTTGCAAATATAACAAGTATTTTCAAGCCTAAATAGGTATTTCTCCTGTCTAACTACACAAAAATAAACATTGATTAAGTCATAATTTAATTAGGCATTATCAACTCAATTAGTTTTTCATCACGATTGAGTGATAGTAGGTTATGCAAAGCGAACAGCTGATTTGACAGCGTGACGTCATTTTTTCAGAAAATGGTGGGCGCGCGTTTGAATTTGTATGAAAATCAAGCAACTTTGACACTGTTATTTGTCTTAAAACTAGTAGACTAAATAAAACGAGTTGGGCGGCTAATCACATGTTCTATATAGATTCACGAATCGGAAAATATAAAGGTTTTTGCTAATTTTTATACTCTAAATTGTTTTCTAAGCAGTTATTGATCATGCAATCCCTTGACCACTTTTACTCTTGCATATAATGGACTTAACCTTACTATCTAAGGCTTGAATTTGTAAAGCTAAAAAGTTACTACTAAGTATTATGCATGTCCCATCAATCCGCATAATCATACGTACTAATTTCATTCTTTATATTACAAATCCGATGGCCATAGATGATACGCAGCATTGTTAGCTTCTGTCTAAGTTTTAAGAGCTGATTCAGGAGGATTATGTGTTTCCTTAGGTTTCAATACTTATAATCATACAAGTTTACGACTTGGCAATTAATACACAAATATTAGTTCATTCTACCGGATGTTTCTGACATGACAGCAGGGGTGAGCAGCACCTTTATTGATGCAGCTTCAACGTGTACTATATTTAAATGTGTAGGTAAATTGGCATAAATAAACAATACTGATGGCGAGAACCCAGTTAACTATGTCCATCAACCATTCCTGCTGACTTATTGGCCATTTTTGCTGCATTCGAGAGGCATCCCAGTTCATTCCATTATATACTTAATTTCTTTATTGTATGGTAATAAAATTAGTGATTGACCATTTTTAAGGTATTTACTATTGAAATTTTTTATATATAGTTAGTTTTGGTTGTTTTGGACGACTTAGTCGATCTCTGCTGAAATGCCTTCCAAGCTTCAGCCGGGATAACATAGCAAAATCTGATAATGTGACGTCACAAGAGAGCTGTTAGTTAAAATTAAAAGTAACGGGACTGCTCTTTGCGCAACCTACTGTGTCTTTTAACAGTGTTTTTCATTATACTTATATGATTAACACTATCGATGAGCAACATAAGTATAATTAATTAAATATAATCTGTTGATGATTAATACTATTGAATAGATTAGAAATAGAGTTAAAAAGAATAATATAGATTCGAATTAAATTAAATGCATATCTCTTTTTTTTAAATAAGTCAACTATTATTATATACATATACATGTTCCATGTACATATGAATACATACATCTAGTGCATACTCTGATTTATGACCTATCATATATTAGCTATATCCACTGTATGTTTGAGGTCGCTAAAAACAATTTGGGCCACACAACGTAAACTTTGAGGCATATGTATGTATATTATAGCTCGAGGGATTTGTCGAAGGTCTCGGCGGTAGTCAATCAAGTAATTACCTGCCAACGACAGGTGCTTCAAATGAGCCTCATCAATAACCAACTGGCAATAACCTTTGTCAGCAAAAAATCGTCAAAATAGTTCACAGTTCTAAATATAGTGTTTAGAAAACATTTATAATTTGCTGATCATTAAAATTTAAATGGATAAATTTTAAAAGGCAACGATAAATTACTAATTGTTTATGGGTTTCAAAATGTAAATATTTTCTTATAATAATATAATATTCCTTATAAATATTCTAGTTCCCAAAAACAAATATTTGTTGAGTCAGTATAAATCAATATACATATAAGATCCTGATTTTATCATACATTCAGCTATTGCTTTTATTTGGCTATAAAATTTGTAAAGCAAGCAATTTTACATACCTCTTCACGAAGTAAAATGGGTATATTGGCTTTGTGCAAAGCAACTTCCAATTTGTTTACATCATGGGAGAAATAGATTTATTTGTTCAGCCTCAGCTATATTTGTAGCTACAAATTCGAATTAAGTTTGTAATTAAGCAATTTTTTCTTTAATCAGAGAGTCAACTAAGTGAATCAGTTTACTTTTAGCTGAAATGAATCTCGTTTACATTTCCATTAAAATGGACTTACAAACTAATCATATTTCCCGTGCACAATAGCATGCACAATTGGCCTGAATATTTAAAGCTTTCGAATGCTTTGGTAGGATTTGAGTTTACCGTTAATTTATCATAATCAAGATGGTTATCCTGTTGATGGATTATGTTATGAGCCTATTAGCTGCTAAAGTGCTGATGCAGCATAAATTCTAGCATTTGGTAACACCTATTTCATTGCAGCTGCTCTAATTTGTTATTGTTATTGTTGTTGTTCGTGTAGTGGTTGTTGTTTACTTGTTTGTTAGTTTGTCAACTTAACCATGTACATATATGTGTGGCCATTTACAATAACAACATGCTGGATCGACATGCAAGGCAACAACAAGCAAAAAACAAACACAAGTTGTTGACACATACAAGCAAAACTGCCTGAACTACGCCTACCACCCATTCCCCCACCCACCTCTTGTGGCTAACCCACCTGCGCCTTAATAAGCATTAATGGTTCAGAGTGAATGGGCAAATGAGGCACGTGGTATGTGGATGCGGGTGGTTGAATGGCTGTGCTTGTGGGTGTCCATTCGGTGTCCATTGGGCAAGTAACGCGAAAATGTTGTTTTCCCCCCGTTAAAAGTGGAGCAGGCAAGCCGGACGAATGGGTCCGCCACTGTCTGCGCATTCGGCATGTGGCTGGCGAGCGTTACGGACGTAACTATATATAATAAATTAACGGCACTTTCAAAAACGACATCGACTATATGATATATTGCAAGGTCTGACGAAAATGCCATCATTTTGCGACTGAGTGATGGGCTGCGGTTCGTCCATGGAGACACAGTCGAGCGCTAGAGGGCAGTGGCCACCAAATGGTGCGTTGCGTCTGCAAGAAAATGGTGGAGCCAAAGTAACGGTAATTTGTATAATAATTTCGAAATCAATACTTCTGGAATCCTGAGTTTTGTGTGCGTGTCCAGAATATTGTGCAGCAATACGTGCGTCTCGATGAGCGGATCAGCAAGTTGGAGGGCACTTGTCCAGGTCCGCGCATGGCCACCGCCGAGGCTTGGATCGAGCATCTGCAGGCCAAGCGCGATGTTATGCTGGGTCTGGACGGCATGCAGCACAGTGCGCGTCCAGCGACAGCGCAGAGCCAGCCGAACCGGCTAAGGGGTGAGGCGGAGGCACATCAATTAAGTAGCTACCCCTTGACGTTGGGCAGCGAGCGGGTAGGCAATGAAATCGTTGCTAACACGCCCACCAAGGACCTGGCCCAGGTGAGCTTTCAGTAATTAACGCCTTGGCACGTGCTTAATGCCCTCAATTATTATATGGAATGGGATTACCATTAGAATTATAATAATAATGACTCTGACCTTCATCTCGAATTACTGAAAACAAAACTATAAAGCTGGCTCATAACTTAGGCGTGATTGGTGATCCACGCAAGGCTTCCATGCACGAGGACTTCTTTGCCAATTTGAGCGAATCGGCGCTCTACTTACTTAGCATACGATACTATGGTGAACTTCTGGATCACACCAAGCAACGGCTCAAGGCTCTAACCGCCAGCTATGCGGAGCTCAATGACCTGTATGTGAATCAGGATGGTATCATTGCCTACATTAGTGGCGGCACCTACATGACCCGGCTCGAGGAGTCCATCGATGAGCAACTGGAGGTGGCGCGCGATACACGTGACAAGCTGGGCAGTGCGTTGGAACAGTGGCGCATCTGTGGGCTGCTCCTACGCGCTGCGGCTAACTCGTCCACACAGGCGCTAAAGCAGTGGCGGCAGCTGAACAGGATAATGTGAGTGAATACTTCCGTTTGAACGATCAAATTTAAATTAAAAACCGAAAACTATAACCACTGACCAAAGAAGACCGAGCCGACCAAATACGAAGTTGTCTGGTCCGCTCAGCGCATTTTTTCGGTGTTGAAAAAGTTTGTTCTACATGTCTAGTCTATGTGTTCTCTGGTCAGTGCTATAACTCACTGAATACTAAAAGTTCCGATTAATCGATAGGTAAGCTCGATATACCGATAAGTCTAATACAGACAGCCTTTTTATATATTAAAATTTATTTTTAACGGAAAAGCACCAAATTAAAACTTCATACGTTATTAAATATATTAATCCTCTTTAATTTGCAGCGACCCCAAACAAAAATTGCAAGTAGCACTGGATTGTCGCAGTTTGCTGCATGCATCTCTAACCTCCCTGGAGGCAGCGCAATTGGCTCTGCCACATGTGGAGCTCAAGTACATGAGCAATCGCCAGGTGCTTGCTGTTAACCACTGCAATACGTATATGATCACAGACATTGCGAATGCAGCGAGGTAAGTTTGCCTTGAAATTAGCTTTTTCTAATTCCCCATTTATGTTATTTCTCCATCAGATATGAGCACACGACCCGCGTCTTTACGAGCTATGAAGTGAATATTCCATTCCAAGACCTGCACCTGGCTCTATGACACATTTAATAAAACTCTACGCAGTGATTTCGACAAGGCAGAAGAAACGGTGCGACGCTTGGCGCGAACTTTGCGTCAGCATCGCGAGGAGACTTTTAGCGCGGCGGGCAAATGAATTACCACTTTCAAATACATACATATATATTCAAGTATTTTTCTCGCTTTTCTATTTTAAGAGAAATTCTTTTTTACTTGTTAGCTTTAATAAACATTTTGTTGAAAAATATTAATTAAATAAGCCAACTATTTTTAAATTATTTATAATTTTTATTAATGTACATTGATTCCCAAATGATTGAAGTAAGTAACATAATCAAACTTCGCGCGCTGTTAATAACAGATTATAAAAATGTTAACAGACAACGTAAACAGACATATCAACATAAGTCAGAGAGGAAACATATTTATTCCTTTATTTTTATTGAACAAAACAGAAGTAAACAAGTGTCTAATACCAATAGCTTTTGGCCGGTGTACGTTCCTCTTTTATGCCCATTTCCTCCATAATGTCCATTTCAAAGGTCGCCAGTTTTGGTTGGAAGGTAATTTCGCTAACAACGGCAGCTGGTGTATCCTTTTCCCGCTCGATATAGGCATTGGGTGTTTTGTAATCATACGTTTGATTATTCGTCTCTGGAATTGGTATGATGCGGCCCGAACGCGTGGATACTCGCACTTTTTCACCCTCTTCCGTGAAGCGCCATTCAAATTCGGTACCCTGCAGATCGGATGGATCCACAAGACGTATATCCTTAGTGACATGCAGCGGCGCCTCGGACTTGATGATAATGCCGGGGAAATCCTTTTCAGCGCCCACACGCCGGTAATGCCAATTGATGCCCTCCACAATAACCCAATTGCGTTCGGGTATTACCTGAGTGACAATGCCCTGTTTACCCTTATCCTTGCCGACTAACACTTCAATGCGATCACCTCGGAAGAAGCTCCAGTCCTCTGAAAAAACATAACAGAAATTTAAAAAATCAATTATTTTTTAATAGCTTTGAATGCTATAATTACCAACGGGCTCCACAAATACTTTTCGCCGCATAGTGCCCGGCATATTCTGTTGCCGGAAGTGGCCTGTCCATGAGCGGTTTGTGGTATAGCGGAAACGTTTCCGCTCAACCGTAGTTTGCAGATAGTTTTTCTCGGCAGGTGTTTTCCAATATACCTGTAGATATTGCAGACATTATAACGGGAATGGAAACACGCATTAATCAATGTTTCAGCTGTTACGTGAGCTGCGAATGTGTTGTTAATTTGAGTAAATCAATCACTTGCCTGCTTTTTGCTCCGCTCAATATATTCCTTTGGCAGATTTGAGAAGTTCTTTAATTTACTAGTTAGATATTGTGTGATGCGCATTTTTTAAATTTTAATTTATAATCGCAATTTATTGACGAAAAACTAACTATACAATGCGGCCCCAAACAGCTGCTTGTTGTATGACATTCACAGTGGCTCGGCGACAATGGAGAAGAAATTGCAGTAAACTATCGAATATAAAATGAGTATCGATATACAGCACCCGTAAAGTACGTAAAGAAGCAACGGTGCAACGATTTTTCTTGCTCAATTTACTTGAGAGCGATGCAAAAAACCGGCTTATAATTAAAATAAGGTAATGCCAGGGTATTTAAATGCGTGCACGTGTCAGTGCAGTGCCATTTACCAGCACATCATTGCTGCGCCAGCATCTCTTATGAAACCCAGTGACGCTTAGTCATAGCCAAAACTTACTCACAAACACACACACACACACACAAACGCTTTGATAAAGATAAATAAAAGCAAGTGGGAAGCAAAACAAATATATACAATATGTCTTATCACATTGTAGATATGACCGATCCTGCCGAGCCAGAGCCTGTGGTGCTCGCCAAACACGCAAAAAATCTGCTGCGCTTCCTGCACTTGTTGCCGGCGCGCATGTCCTCACATGACGACACCAGGTAAGAAGACGTCACATCCTTGCCAAACTTACTGTATTTGACCAATGATATATTTACATAGGAGCACAATAGTCTTTTTTGCCGTCTGTGGCCTGGATGTGCTCAACTCTCTACACTTGATATCGCCAGAGTTGCGCAAGGACATCATAGACTGGACCTATGGCGGCCTCGTAACGCCACGTGACCATGAAAGGCAATGCGGAGGCTTTATGGTGAGCATGAATACCTGTCAGTCCGACTGTCAGCGTGTCAGATACGATAAACAAACAAATAAGCACGGCGACTCATCAACCAACCAAACACAAATGTCTCTGACTTTATCATTTTACGTGGCGCTGCAGCAGCCACTGCGACAAACGCTCCACTTCCCATGTTGAATGCTATTGCTATAAATTACACGGATCTTAATAACATTAACAAACTTGCACAATCGAGTAAACAGCAGTAGTTGTCAGTAATTGCGACTTTCATAAACCAGTTATAGCTTTTAGAACCTGGATATTCTTAGCTGAGATCTCTTCAGTTGAACTTTAATAATTATGTATATAAACAAAATAGCTCAAGATGTTTAGTTTTTGTTTAACTTCAGTGTAACATAAGAATACTCTTGTGCCTGACTCACAGATACCCTCTTGCTGTTATTGCATAGCTTTAGAATGCTCTTGCCATGCCATGCCAGACATATATGTATTTCAATTATATATCTGAATTTTTTTTATCCATTTGTTGGCACCTCAGCTTTCCACATTTTGTGAGATATAGGTTTTAAATGAAATCATATTTAAATTAAATTATTAATATATACCGGCTTTCATTAATTTATTTAATTTCAATTTTAAGGAATAAGTCTGATTGATTTTACATACTCATTATTTACTTAGCCCAACTGTAAAATTGAGCTCTTATCGCGATTTTTATCAGCTCAAGTGCGCCGTGACACGCATAACCACTTTAGTGTACGACCCCCAGCCTCATATACAACATCATTAACAATTTCATTCATTTGGTGTTGTCTTTTGCAGGGCTGTCGCGCCATGGTGCCCAAGACGGAGGACGCTGAGGTGCTGGAATCTATGCGCGCGTATCAGTGGGGCCACCTGGCCATAACTTACACCAGTATTGCAGTGCTGGTGACGCTGGGCGATGATTTGTCGCGCCTGAATCGGCAGAGCATTGTGCGGGGCGTGGCGGCAGTCCAGCATGAGGATGGCAGCTTTAGTGCGTCCATTGACGGCAGCGAGAATGATATGCGCTTCGTCTATTGTGCCGCTACTATTTGCCACATGCTCGACTGCTGGGAGGGCGTGAACAAGGATGCCATGTTTGAGTTTATAATGCGCAGCCTGCGCTACGATTACGGTTTCAGTCAGGGGTTGGAGGGCGAGGCGCACGGCGGCACCACGTTCTGTGCGCTGGCCGCACTCGAGCTGAGCGAGCAGCTTCATCGGCTGGACGAGGTGACGGTAGAGCGCATAAAGCGATGGCTTGTTTTCCGGCAAATGGATGGCTTCCAGGGGCGCCCGAACAAGCCAGTGGACACGTGCTATTCCTTCTGGATTGGCGCCGCTCTCTGCATTTTAAATAGTTTCGAGCTGACCGACTACGCCCAGAATCGCGAATACATTATGAGCACACAGAACAATCTGATTGGGGGCTTTGCCAAGTGGCCGAAATCCACGCCAGATCCCTTCCATACGTACCTGGGCCTGTGCGGCCTCGCTTTCATCGGTGAGCCAGGCCTGAACGCTGTAATGCCCAGTCTGAACATCTCCATGGCCGCCTATAAGCACCTCAATCAATTGCACGAGCGTTGGCAAGCTAACAACAACGGCCTTACCCACGAACTAACCCAGCTTAAGCTGACCGTGGGCAGCAGCGCAGAAGCGGGAACAAAGACTACCTCGAGCTCGTCTCTAATATCAGCACAATGATGGGAACGTTCCTGGGAAATATTAATGCACACAATTTGTATTTTAACGCTTATTGGTGGCAATTTTTTTTGCAAAAATATTTTATACTACGATTTGTATGTAAGTAAAAAGCTGGAAACTTCTCTTCAATATACTGAGTCCAATTTTAAGTTAGGCAAATTGGCTGGGAAACAATAACAGAGGCAGAAAAGCTAGTATTATTGACAGTTAACAGAGTTATGTTATCGCTCTGTTTGCCATTTGAACGGACTGTTATTAAAAGCGCATCCTCTACAATTAGCAAAATTTGAATATTTTAATACATTAGAGTTTTAATTAAATAAATATATATGTATAATACAGCAGAAGTTAAAGAGTGTCCAGATATTTGTAAAAGTTAAATTAATGTTAAGAACTGTAAACTTAAGATAAACAATTGCATTAAATTACTTAATGGCGTCCGTATTTACAAAGATGTTGTCAGCATGCCTCCCGTTTGTAATTAGCCTCGTTAGCCTCTAGATTAGTTGGATTATTATTTAGTAGGTAATCTCAGACCTGCAGGTACAGGCGATGCTGTATAGCGGGCAGATTGTAGCCCATGATCGGCCGATCAATGTGCAGACGTCCGCGCAGTGGAGCCAGAACACGTTCCGTTACCAAAGGACAACGCTGCACCATTAGGGACTGCAGGTGTGGGCAGCTCTTGGTCAGTGCACTAGAGAGAGAAACAGAGTGAGCAGGAGATAAAGAGAGAGAGAGTGTGTGTTGTAGAACTAGTAAACAAGAAAATCACTGGGATAGAAATCGTTTAAGTTGTAAGCATTGAGCGCGTCCTGGCGTGGACGTGGTCGATCAATATGCACCCGATGACGCAGTGGCGCCAACGAGCGCTCCGTAATGCGATGGCAGCGTTGGATACGAAGCGATTGCAAGCTCTTGCACTTTACGCTGAGCGCACTGAAAAAATAGATGCAGATGTATGTGCATTTGCAGTCGCAGCCGAACGGACGACACACAGAAAACACACACAGACAGACATCCAATTACACACACAGGATTGAGTGATAATTGACTATGCAAAGCGGTCTGTTAGTTTCAAAATGAAGCAACGTTGCGACTTTTGCTATCTGTCTTGTTATACGGATGGACTCGGACAATACAACGGGTTTATTAATATTGTTTTGTTCTAAGTCGGTTTTTGTAAAGTTGTTGCTCTCATGTTTGAGTTTTTTAACAGTGACACATATCCAAAAACACACACACACATGCATGCATGATGCAAGCT